AGATGTTTTATACAATTTAAAGGAATGATAAACTAAAATCCAAAAGTAATAAGTGAAGAAGAAACATTGTGGCTGGCCTTACTCACTTTCTAAGCACCAGTAATTAAGGTATTAGGTAGCCTGGCTGGCATGGCTCAGTGGTTGAGCGTCAACCTATGAATCAGCCGGTCACAGTTCCATTCCCGGTCAGGGCACATGCCTGGGCTCGATCCTGTGTGGGGTGTGCAGGAGGCAGCTGATCAATGAGTCTCTCTCATCATTGATGTTCCTATCTCTCTTTCTCTCTCCCTTCCTCTCTGAAATCAATAAGAAATATATATATATTTTGAATTAAGGTATTATTTACATCATTTCAGTTGTTCCTGTCAATGCCCCTAGGACCTAGCTTCATTTCGCACGAGAGAAGGGGATCTTAGGAAGGTTAAGTTCACTTGCTAGAATGCTAGCCCTGAGCTTATTTCAGAGCCTGCATTATATATATATATATATATATATATATATATATATATATATATATATATATATATATTTGATTTTTTACAGAGAGGAAGAGAGAGGGACAAAGAGCTAGAAACATCAATGAGAGAGAATCACCGATCAGCTGCCTCTTGCACACCCCCTACAGGGGATGTGCCTGCAACCAATGTACATGCCCTTGACCGGAATCGAACCTGGGACACTTCAGTCCGCAGGCTGACGCTCTATCCACTGAGCCAAACCGGTTTCGGCAGAGCCTGCATTCTTGACCGCTTCTCTATACCAAGCGGCTGGACCTTAGTCCAAGAGGGAAATGGCAAAGACCAAACAGCTTCCAGTGCTCAAAGCTTCCTTGTGAGAGCCCTGAGACAGTTTCTCAGGTTTCAAGAGAAGTGTCTTGTGGGAGGAGAGCCGGGGTGCAGAAAGCGAAGACCCCATCCCTGGCTTCTGAAAGGCATTCTGAAACCATGTTTTTGGCTTGAGGCAAGATACAAGCACTGAATCAACATTGTACTGGGCAGCTGGACCAGTAGGACCAGGTAGGGAATGTAAACGTGTCCAACATCCAGGTATGAGAAATGCCACAGCCTAAGCTCAACAATCAGTGGCAGCTGCAGTGGGCCTCAGGGTTAGAAAGGAAACAGGGCCCTAACTGGTACGGCTCAGTGGATAGAGCGTTGGCCTGCAGACTGAAGGGTCCTGGGTTTGATTCCAAACAAGGGCATGTACCTTGGTTGCAGGCTCGATCCCCAGTAGGGGGCGTGCAGGAGGCAGCTGATGGATGATTCTCATCCATGTTTCTATCTCCCTCTCTAAAAAATAATCAATAAAAGTATTTTTTTAAAAAAGAGAAAGAGGCAACAGAGAATGGTAGGGACTGAGGCAAAATGACATGCACTTGACACATCAAAGGAGTAACTTTTTCGTGGATATGGCAATGGATTAATTTTATAAATTCATTCTTCACAGATTTGTAAGTGATCAAGATAGATTTTGAGCCAAAACCGGTTTGGCTGAGTGGTAGAGCGTTGGTCCCGGGTTTGATTCCGGTCAGGGGCATGTACGTTGGTTGGAGGCAGCTGGTCGATGTTTCTCTCATCGATGTTTCTAGCTCTCTATCTCTCTCCCTTCCTCTCTGTAAAAAAAAATCAATAAAATATATTAAAAAAAAAAAAGATTTTGAATGCAGAAAGTAACATTTCCAAAGTTTTGAAAATATGTTTCATATCTCATCTGTTATCTTGTAAAGCTTCTGGTCTAGCTTCTGTTTGATTCCATAGTCTAGAGATAACAATAGCAATCTCATGGTTCACTTACTGTCCTAGCAATTCACATACTTTGATTTATTTAATCCTTCCTACGGCCTTGTAAATCAGAGACTATTATAGTCCCCATTTTACAGCTGAGGAAGCTGAGGCAGAGAGGCGAAGTCAATTTGGCCAAGTCACACAGCCACTAAACGGTGTAGTGGAATGTAAAGCCCGGCAGTCTGGCTCCAGAGCCACCCTCCCACCTCCCTCTTCCTGTTACCTGAGATAGATTAGCAAACACAAAGTGTCCCTTACGCCCGGGAGCAGGCGTAGGCCAGTTTCAAAGTCCACGTGATAGCCTCCTGGTCCCAATGACTTGACGTGTAATTCCTTGTATCTTAATTTGTAGATTTTTGCCATATTCTTCCCCGTCTCTGTTGAGATTGGTAGGCTCTGCCATTGAATTTGCTAAGTCATAAGTTGTAATGAAGGAGACCGGGAAGAGATTTTGAGCGATAGGAGGAAAAGGTCAATCACAAAGTCAGAGGTCATAAGGAATTCTCTCAAAATTAGGTCCAAGCCGAAACCGGTTTGGCTCAGTGGACAGAGTGTCGGCCTGTGGACTAAAAGGTCCCAGGTTTGATTCCGGTCAAGGGCATGTACCTTGGTTGCAGGCACATCTCCAGTAGGGGGTGTGCAAGAGGCAGCTGATCGATGTTTCTCTCTCATCGATGTTTCTAACTCTCTATCCCTCTCTCTTCCTCTCTGTAAAGAATCAATAAAATATTTAAAAAATTAAAAAGAAGTTAGGTTCAAATCTTTCAGCTGCTTTTTCCTGTAACTTCACAATGGCAGATATGCTTTCATTTTTCCAGCTGGGCATTGCTGTGCTATTATTTTCCAGTTTTCCTTTAATTTTTATGAACTGATAGTTCAAGGACCAAGGCTCTATCTTGAACGACCCTTTCCCCCTTTCCATGGCACGTTGTAGTTCTTTCAAAGGAGCTCCCTGCCTCTCTATTCCTGTTTTTTTTTTTTCTTTCTAAAATCTATACCTAAATACTCACTGCCATTAACATCATCACCAGAGAGTTCAGTGTATATGGATAGAATTGCAAATAGAAGTTCAGTCACAGTGACTGATCAGACGGAGTGGGATGAGAAGGCAACCAATTTGCATTTTCTTCAGCCGAGTGGAAATGGCACACTTCCTGGGCCACACTTCGTGACATCGGGGAGAGTGTGATGATCCCCTGCCTGTTTAACTGAGCGCTGCTCCCAGGTCTGCTGGGCTTTGGTGATGCGTTCCAGCACCGTTGGCAGGCCCTCGCATCTCTTGGCTGTGTGCCTGGGGCCTGCATCATGAGGGTTGGCACATAGGGAATCGTCGTTAGCACCTCCGACTATAACCCACTTGGTGCTTGGGCCATCCTGCTTCTCCGCCTGCCCAGTGGGGTCTGTTACTGAGAGGTGTCTGGTGATGGACCCCCCTCCTATCCACCTGACACTGGCCATCCCACTGATCATCATGCCCATTGCCAAATAGGTCGTGCCCAAGATGCTGCCCTGGGCTGCAGCACTTGCAGTGACAGTGGCATCCTATCTAAGCGTAATATGCAAATTGACCATCACTCCAGCACACAAGATGGTCACCTCCATGTGCTCAAAGTTGACTACTCCCATGTGGACACAAGATGGCCACCACAAGATGGCCGGAAGGGGATGGCAGTTGTGGGCGATCAGGTCAGCAGGGGAGGGCAGTTAGGAGCGACCAGGCTGGCATGGGAGGGCAGTTAGGGGCAATCAGGAAGGCAGGCAGGCTAGCAGTTGGGAGTCAGCAGTCCTGGATTGTGAGAAAGATGTCCGACTGCCCATTTAGGCCCGATGCCGGTGCGAATCAGATTTAGCATATACTGAAATGGGCAGTCGGACATAACCTCGAGGGGTCCAAGATTGTAGAGGGTGTAGGCTGGGCTGAGGCACACCCCTCCCCCATGCATGAATTTTGTGCACTGGGCCTCTAGTGTTTAATAAGAAGCTCCACATGTGATTGTCAGCCACACACTCCTGATTAAGAACCTTGATATAGCCTGGCCAGATCACAGTGATTGAGCATTGACCTATGAACCAAGAGGTCACAGTTCGATTCCTGTTCAGGGTGTATGTCCCAGTTGCAGTCTCCATCCCCAATGGGGAGCTTGTAGGAGGCAGCCCATCGATGATTCTCTCTCATCATTGGTGTTTCTATCTCCCTGTCGTTTCCTCTCTCAAGTCAATAAACATATTTAAAAAAACAACACTTTGGTATAGACATGCTCGTTTAATCCAGCAGTCCTCTCTATTCCTGATGCTCAGCTTGTTTCCAGTTGTTCTTTGTTAAATAACAGGAGTGAGCATATTCATGGATAAGTCTCTGTTCTCATTTCTATTTTCTGGGATAAATCCTTAGAGGTCAAATTTTAGACTCAAAGGACAAGCATATTTTTTTTTCAATTTTTTAAAATATATTTTATTGATTTTTTACAGAGAGGGAGGGAGAGGGATAGAGAGTCAGAAACATCGATGAGAGAAAATCATCGATCAGCTGCCTCCTGCAACACCTCCCCCCGCCCCCACCGGTGATGTGCCCGCAACCAAGGTACATGCCCTTGACCGGAATCGAACCTGGGACCCTTCAGTCTGCAGGCTGACGCTCTATCCACTGAGCCAAAAACGGTTTCGGCAGGACAGGCATATTTTTAAGGAGGGATGGAAAGCATTGTCGTCGCTAGTACTGTGTGAAAAAGTGTAGTGAGAAAGTATTGGGCCAGGGGGAGGAGGCCTGGGGTTGAGGCCGCACTGTGCTGCCAGCAAAGGAGAGCTTTGGGCAAGTTTTTTGGTTTGGTTTCTCTTCCTTTGGTTTCATTTTCTTCTTTTGTGAAATGATCCCCGTTATGAATCTGCACAGAAGCGATCGTGTGGATGTTACTTGGTCTTGCAATCTTGCAGGTAAGTGCATGAAAGGAGGAGCATCTGCTGGAGTCCGCAGGGGACTGGCGGAGCAGCAGGCTTCCCCTTATGCAGTTTGATGGCTTACTTGAGAATTGCTTCCGGGTTTCAAAGAAGTGATTGCTGTCCTGTATTATAAGGGAAGAACATCTAGATTGCTATCTGAAATCTAGTTCTTTTTTAGGCCTCTGATAGAGATTAAAGAGACTTCCCCCACACCTATGCCATGGGTGTGGCTCCCAAGCTGATGACTCCAATATTAATTTCACTTTCGTATTGTTCCAGGGAAGCTTTATGGTGATGTTCCTTTTATAGAAGAAAGACACAGACATCGGTATGAGGTACGCTTTCACACTGAATTACTGTGGAATATAGATGCTTAGTGCGGGGAACCCCAGAGATTACAAGTGGGCCTCTGAAACAGGATCAGGGAGATGGAGTCCATGGGCATGTGTGGGTAGAGGAGATACCAGAACAAGCCCGTGGCTCTGTTTTGAGGGAGGACTGGTGGGAATGGATGCTGAGTAGGCTACCAATAGTGGAAAATAATTTGCTGAGTGGTGAGGGTGATGAGGAGGGTTTGAGGGGTGATGGTAAGAGGGTGCATGGTATATTTTTGGATTGATTGTGGTGTTGGTGGAAACCTATATACTATATACCATTGAGTTGTACACTTTTAAAAATTTAATATAATTTTATTGATTTGAGAGAGGAAGGGAGAGGGAGAGAGAAATAGAAACATCACTGATGAGAGAGAATCATTGATCAGCTGCCTCTTGCACACCCCACACTGGGGATCCAGCCCACAACTTGGGCATGTGCCCTGACAGGGAATTGAACTGTGACCTCTTGGTTCATTATTGATGCTCAACTCCTGAGCCATGCCATATGGGCAAGTTGTACACTTAAAAAAAAAATTTATTGATTTTTTTACAGAGAGGAAAAGAGAGGGATAGAGAGTTAGAAACATTGATGAGAGAGAAACATTGATCAGCTGCCTCTTGCACACCCCCTACTGGGGATGTGCCCTGCAACCAAGGTACATGCCCTTGACTGGAATCGAACCCGGGACCTTTCAGTCCATAGGCCAACACTCTATCCACTGAGCCAAACCGGTTTTGGCAAGTTGTACACTTTTAATGGGTGAATTGTAAGGTATATGAATTATATCTCAATAGAGCAGTTAAAAAGGAAGAAAAGTTGACAAATTCTGAGAACTAGCCCAATGTGAAAAAAACAAAATAAATGCATGTGTGATTAAGATGAGGAGAGGTGGGACCCCACTCTGGTTTTGGATGAGGAAGTGCTTTTTGTGAAGGAGAGGTTGAAATGCTTGGGGAAAAGCTCTGATGAGATGAGCGAGGGAAGGGGCTGTGAACGAGGTCATCAAGCTGTCATCTCTAACCAGTATTTTAGTAGAAAACTTGCGCCAAGCTTATTTTTAGAACTTTTATGTAACTAAATATAAATAAAGCATTGGTGTTAGTCACAGGGTAAATAAGATGGTTTCAGTCCTCAAGCAGATTTGTGATTTGGAGAGAGAGAGTTACATTTGCACATAATTCATGACAAGAAGCAAATACGGGGATGGCTATAAATAGCTGGTCTCAAGGTCTCCAATAAAAAATGTCTGTTTCATAGTCCTGCTTTCTGAATCTCATCTTTGGGCGAGAGAACACGGGCCTCCCAAAGTTAAGGTCTGTGATTAGGCTGCTTCTCAGGTTCACCATGAGTTTAAAAATAGGTTGAATATAGAAATTAACTACTGGTTAGAACATCACGGAAATGGAAAAACCCACCCAGTTGAGGTAAGCCCTTTTAATAAGCTGATATGTCTGTATTGCTCTGCTGCCCAAAGACATTTAATTTCTTTTTTTTTTTTTTTTTCCAGGTGAACCCTTCCTTGGTCAACCAATTTGGGCAGAGTGACTTACATTTTGTAGGACAGGATGTTGATGGGGAGAGGATGGAAATCATTGAACTGGCAAGTAAGTGGGCTTTTCACTTTTGAATTTTTGTGTTGAGCTGATCTTTTTCTTTGCCCATAGACATATGAAGCTGTAACTTGGTACCTGTGTTATTTGGTCTTTTTTTCCCCCTCTCTCCTTTGAAATAAATTTGCAACTAAATAGAAAGTATGCAGGTAAGCATATAGTATGTGAAAAAAAAGAAAAAGAAAAAGAAAAGACCGCTTGTAATCCTGATCATTCGGGGCTTTTTACTCTGAATGTGCCATACAATGATGCATTGTCCTACACGTTCTATCAGCAGTATGCTTCCTTACCATCCTTACCTCCTTCGCTTGTTTTCAGCATCTAGGTCAGGCACCCTGGGAAAGGCAGGCAGCCCATTGTTGAGTAGTATTTTTCTTTACTTTCTTTACTTTGGAAGAATGGCCAGTGCTGTCTCACTATTGGTGACTGGTATTGACATCTGTTGTGTGTGGGACCTGGCCCCTCATTTCACCTGGTGTCTGCCTTTCTCTATTGCTCATGCTCCATGGTCAAGTGTGGGCCAGTTGCTGCACTCAGACTAATTTAAAAAAATATATATTTTATTGATTTTTTACAGAGAGGAAGGGAGAGGGATAGAGAGTTAGAAACATCGATGAGAGAGAAACATTGATCAGCTGCCTCCTGCACACACCCCACTGGGGATGTGCCCGCAACCAAGGTTCATGTCCTTGATCGGAATCGAACCTGGGACCCTTCAGTCCACAGGCTGATGCTCTATCCACTGAGCCACATCTATCAGGGCCTCAGACTAATTTTTAAAAATGGTTCTTGTATGTGCCCTCACTGGGGAATCGAACCCACAACTTTGGCATATTGGGAAGATGCTCTAACCAACTGAACTACTCGGGCAGGACTGCATTCAGACTTCTCAGTGAGATCAAACATTCACAAGGGAATTTGACTTCTGTTGAGGAAGATCACTGAAGAAGTTGTGTGGCTGGGCAAGGGCACTCTTCAGCAGCGCAGGCACAGAGCATACGTGTGTTATTGACAGAGGACAGTGTTTTCATTCAAAGCTGCAAAGGCAGGGTACGCTCATGCATACAGCTGGTCCCAGCTCTCTCTCTTGCTTTTCTAGCCCAGGGCTGGCCAGACTTCGGCTGGTGGGCCAGATTCAGTCTGCTGACTCTTTTTGTTCAGTTTCATGCTCTAAGAATGGCTTTTACACTTTTCAATAGTGCCAGGGTTTCTCACCCTCACCGCCACTGACATGTGGAACAGGATCATTCTTTGTGGTGGGGGCTGATGCTGGGTATTTGACAGCATCCCTGGTCTCTACCCACTGGATGCCAGTAGCACTACCTGCCCCACCCTCCAAGCTTCGACACTAAAAAACTTGGTTGGGAACCCAGTTTTGGATCGTCAGGTTTGAAATTGGATTTATTTAGCTCCCTTGCCTCTTCATACCCCCAACTTGTTATCGGTTCTCAAGTCCTGTAGATTCCATCTCTGGAAAGATCTCTCTTTTTTAAAAAAATATATTTTATTGATTTTTTTTTTATAGAGAGGAAGAGAGGGATAGAGAGTTAGAAACATAGATCAGCTGCCTCTTGCATGCCCCTACTGGGGATGTGCCCACAACCAAGGTACATGCCCTTGACCGGAATCCAACCCAGGACCTTTCAGTCCTCAGGCCGATGCTCTATCCACTGAGCCAAACCAGTTTCAGCTGGAAAGGTCTCTCTTGGTTGCCATTTTATTCTCATCCCTACCACCCTAGTCCTAGGTTGTGATGACTCCAGCAAGGACAGAGCTCTGACTGTGCAATCTATGTGACACCAGTTTGTTGTCTAAACCACTCTCACTTATTGAGTACTTAGTATGTACAGGATACTCTAAAAAAATAGTAGCATAATTGTCTAGAATCACCCTTTTCACCTATATCCTTTAGGCTCTGGATAACTTACTTACACTTCTAACTTTCCTACTTCTTTTTCTACCTTAGCCTGTGTCACCATCCTTCGTTTCAAATTCCTTTGTCCCTTTCCTTTTCTGTCTGTAATCTGTAAGGTACTTCAGGAATCCCCAGGAGGTGGGAGAGTTGAAGTTGGAAAAGGCATTTTTGTACTTGATAATATGTTGCCTTATCCTGAAAGAAGGAAAGCAATGGACATTAAGTGTGCACCCTAGATGCTTCTCACTAGCCCCTCCCCCCAAGGACTCTGAATGCCTTATGCAAATTACAAGGCTAATGATGTGATGATGTAATTCCCACCTCCCAGAGAAGGAGACTCTATGCAAAGAAGTGAAGTAAACTGCCCAGGCCATCCAGCTAGCAGCTGGCCAGGTTATTGATTCCTTCTGCCACCACTCCTGTGGGATTTTATTGTTCCTTCGTTTTCATTGGACATTCCATTTAAGATTATCAATCCACGTTTTGATTTAGAATATGAGAATTTATTTCCCATAGTCTTCCTAAGGGGAATGCCCGTCATTTAGAATTTATATAGCGTGGATCGCTGGCGTGCGTGTGAGAGGTCAGAGGCATTCTTAAACATTACTATTTGTTTCCGTGGTTCAAATATTTATTCTCTGTTAATTCTCCTGGTTCTCATTATTTTCAGCAAATATTAGAAGTCGCTTTCAACCGCAAAGTTTTAGATTTCCATTGACACTTGCAAATTTCCTGTGGGTTGTAAGGGGAATGAGAGTTGCTGTATAACCTTGCGACTTTGAAAAGCTGACCACAGGGAATTGATTTTATTATGGAGAATTCTCCAGAATATTTGGATCTTGGCTCCCTCTTAGAAGCATACCCACGAATCTCTGTATTACTAAAGCAATTCTAAAAGGAACAACAAAGCTTGAGATCAGTACAATGTCAGAATTTGGTTCAAAGCAATTAAGAGAATTATTTAAAAGATACTTTGACTGCTAGAACATCACCAAAATAAAAATTTTATAGTCTCCTTCCTCATATTAGCATAGGGAATTTTTGGGATAAAGTGATTCAGAGCAATGATCCATTCATTTAAATATTCTGTCCCTGACTCTGACATGATCCATTATTCAGCTTCTGTCTGTAATGGTACAAAAACACAATTACTGTCTGCTTCTTTCAACGATATCACTGGATGCTGTGCTGTAAGATTTATCGCATCTTAAATTTAAAGCTACATTGCTTAGTTTCTTTTCTAAGTGTGGATGATTTCTCTTCTACTTTTCTCGAGGGGATACATTCCTGAGAGAAGGTGGCATTCCCCTCACCAAACTTTCATTCCTGAGTGTCCCTCTAATTTAAGGAGGTTTCTTCTTAGATGTGATATAGAGCAAGCATGTCAAACTCAAAGGCTAACACGGGCCAAATAAACAAGGTTTAAATTTACATGAGCAGCAAGAAAACAAAAGCTTCACCCTAGTCAGTTTGGCTCAGTGGATAGAGCGTCAGCCTGGGGACTGAAGGGTCCCAGGTTCGATTCCTTTCAAGAGCATGTACCTTTGTTGCAGGCACATCCCCAGTGAGGATTATGCAGGAATCAGCTGAATCAATGTTTCTCTCTCATCGATATTTCTAACTCTCTATCCCTTGCCTTTCCTCTGTAAAAAATCAATAAAATATATTAAAAAAGAAAAGAAAACAAAACAAAAGCTTCAATTTTCACAGAAACGTAGGTTTATTTCAATAGAGTCATGCTGAATACAAAGGTCTGAAATGTCATCGTTAACATAAAATAATAGAACATTTTAATAAAAATAGTATTTTTTTTGAACAGTAACTTACCAGACACTGAAAAACTGCACAAATTAATAAGCGTAATGCAAATGAACCTATTTTTCTTGTTTTCTGAAAGCAAAATATTTTCTGTTCTGCACACCAAGTCAGTCCAAGACTAATGACGTGGCCATTGGCTGCTAAAATACTACTGGTATTAGTGGAGAGAAATAGTGTGCTTGTGTGTAAGGGAAAGGAACGCAGCACGATTCTAGTAATCAGTCATCAGCAAATGTAGTTTGTTATTAATAATTATGTATAACAGGATATTGTAAAAATTGACTAAATTTTTATTAAAACGTTTCTTACGTACCGTTATATTGGCTGGGCTGCAAAAATATGTGTTGTGGGCCACATGTGGCCCGCAGGCCGTGAGTTTGACATGCTTGATGTAGAGGATTTCACTGGATTTTTGTACACTCAGAGCTGTGCAATAGAACTTGCTGCAGTGATACAGTGTTCTGCCCTATTCAGTGTGGTAGCCATATGTAGCTATTGAGTATTGAAACATGCTCAATTAATTTGAATAGATTAAAATAGCTGTGTGTGGCTAGAGGCTACCATTTTGTAGAGCAAAGCTTTAAATAACCTTAGAAGAGTGGACATTTGTGATCCATCATCATGTCCTCGCTACTCTACAGTAGCTTTGGGACTCTAATGGCAAATGATGGGGATTTGTGATTTTGAATTACATACTTGACTTTTAGATCATTTGATAAAACATCTCTCTGAAAGCTTTAACGTTGTATTTACTTTTCCCTATAAAACTGGTTTTATCATAGATAGATATAGATATATAGAGATATGTAACTCAATATCAATTTAAATTATTTTTAAAGTAAGGAATAGAGCACACTGACCATGCTCTATACTATAATAATTAGGGGATTAAAGAGTAGCTGAATCTCTAATTAGGAGTTTATCCCTAATATGGGAAAAACATAGTTTTTTGAGAGTTCCAATTGGAAAGAGGAATTATATACATATATAATTTTTTTTAATTGATTTTTTTACAGAGAGGAAGAGAGAGGGATAGTTAGAAACATCGATGAGAGAGAATCATTGATCAGCTGCCTCTTGCACACCCCCCACTGGGGATGTGCCCACAACCATGGTACATGCCCTTGACCGGAATCGAACTCAGGACCTTTTAGTCCGCAGGCCGTCGCTCTATCCACTGAGCCAAACCAGTTTTGGCGGAAAGAGGAATTTTTAATCCTATAAAATTTCTACCCAGATTTGGAAATGTTGCCTGTTTAATTCTTATTATAAAAATGGGATTCCTGTTGAAAGTAGTGGGCGGAAAGCTACTTTTCTATTCTTACTACATCTAGGAGAACTTAAATTGCTCATCTAGGGGCTTCTTACAATCCTCAATATGAAAATCACTTCATTTCCTACCCAGGTAATGTAAGTGATAGATACTTATTGTAAAGCTTCACACGATACAGAAAAGTATCAAGAAGAAAAAAAAAATCTTAAACTTTTGTCACCTTGAGCCATAACCACCATTAACATGTTTGAGAGGCCATCCTTTTATCACTCAAAGACCATTCATCACAAGGGATAAGTTGGCATAGAATGAAATATGAGTTCAGTTTCATGGTGCTGTCTGTGATTAATACCCAACTCAGAGCTGCAACTAGAAAAGCAGTTGTACTTGCTGCATTCCCAAGGGACCCTTATCTTGGTGAAGGAGATCTTATAGAAAATGGCCTGAAGCCATCTAAGAGAAAGAATGTTCTACCTACAGTTAGCCTAAAGGGTGAAGGGTACCATGGAAATGAGCACAGTGTAAGTCTATGAAGGACCATCAAAGCAGGCAGATGCCCAGCTGGCGTGGCTCAGCGGTTCAATCAGAAGGTCATGGTTTGATTCCCGGTCAGGGCACATGCCTGGGTTATAGGCTTGATGATCCCCAGTGTGGCTATTGATCAATGATTCTCTCTCATCATTGAGGTCTCTCCCTCTCCCTCTCCCTCTCCTCGGTCTCCCTCTCCCTCTCCCTCTCCCTCTCCCTCTCCTTCTCCCTCTCCCTCTCCCTGTCCCTTCTCTCCCTCTCCCTCCTCTCCCTCTTCCTCTCCCTCTCCCTCTCTCTCTCTGAAATCAATAAACATTTATATATATTTTTAAAAAGCAGGCAGATTTTGGGAAAGCAGAATTTATCTCGCCACTGAAAAATTTTTGCTTAACATTGCTTATTCTAATACCACCTTCTACAAATAAAATGTTGGATTATTATCGCGGGAGATGTGTTTTGTAATTTGAAATTCTACTGGGAAGATGGACTGTGAAAATAGCTGGCTATGATGATAAGTTAAATAGTTATCTCATTGTGGAATGAGTTTCTGATTCAAAGATAAGACCTTCAAAGTATTTCTCCTGTTTGCTTCAATCACATCATCATTGTTCTCATTTCAGATCACCCCTATTTTGTTGGTGTCCAATTCCATCCCGAGTTTTCTTCTAGGCCGATGAAGCCTTCCCCTCCATACCTGGGACTATTACTTGCAGCAACTGGGAACCTGAATGCCTACCTGCAACAGGGATGCAAACTGTCCTCCAGGTAACCAGCTTAACAATGACCCAAGATGCCGTTATCAACACTCTAGGTTTCTCATAAACTTAAAAAAATATGCTTTTATTGATTTCAAAGAGAGGAAGGGAGAGGGAGAGAGAAAGAGAGAAACATTCATGAAAGAGATACATTGATTGGCTGTCTCCTGCACCCCTCCTCCCCCCAACGGGGAGTGAGCTGCAGCGTGAGCATGTGCCCTGACTGGGAATTGAACTGGCGACCTCTGGGTTCATGGGTCGCGATGCTTGACACCTGAACTTACACCTGCTGGGCTGATTTCTTTTTGAAGTGAAGGAACCAAGATGTCGCAGGTTCGATTCTGATCAGGGCACATGCCCGGGTGGTGGGCTCGATTCTCCATCTCCAGTGGGAGATGTACAGGAGGCAGCCGATCAGTGATTCTCTCTCAGCACTGATATTTCTCTCTCTCTCTCCCTCTCTCTCTTTTAAAAATCAATAAAAACGTTAAAAAAAAATAAAGTGAAGAATTGTTTTTTCCTTCTTAATAATTGTGACTTTTTCTCAATAAAAATGATCTAATCGTATCTACAATAGTAACCTAACAGTTTTCCAAATTATGCTAATTCTGGGGCATTATTTTAGAAATTTTTGTCATTTTGATAAGTGAAAAATAGGGTTTTCTTTTGTGGATTCTGATTAATTAATATATATAAGTATGTTATTGGCTCTTGTTTTATAAACGATCTGTTCATATCCTTTCCCCTACTTTTTCTTTTGCTATTATATCTTTTTTCTTAATGATTGGCAAGCTCTTTATATATAAAGGACATTAATCCTTTGTTAGGTTGCAAATACTTTTTCAAAATGATTTTGTTTTCTTCTGAGTTGTCAATGGTAGTTTTTATATTTTCCTTAAAGAGTTTTAAATAAGGAATTTATTTAAATAAGCTCTTATTTATGCATATATTTCTTATTTATATAGTCAAATCTTCTATGAATTATGTTTTTTGTGTAAGTGTGTAAAGTCTTTTCTTATCAAAAGATTATATAAATAATATCCTATTTTTTACACTAGCACTTCTATGGTTTTTATTTTAAATGAAGCTTAAATCTCTAATTTATATGAACTTTATATTTGGTATAGTGTGTGAGGTAGGGATCTGCTCTCTCCAAACCCCTAACCTCAATTGTTAGTAAGTTGAGTAATTTAAATTTGTTTCAGGAATTTTTGTTTTGTTCTGTTAATGATTTTACCTCTTATTTCTGAACCCGTACAACGCTTTTCATCATAGCATTATTGTAAATCAAGTCTATTCCCATTATTGTTTAACATTTTTAAAAAGGTATTTTGCTGCTCTTCCAGATTAACTGTAGAATGATTTTTGAAATTAGGTTTGAGTAAAGTAATCCATTATAGATTTTCATCAAAATTTCTTTACATTTAAATATTAATTTGGTGGGAATTCATATTTTACATTTTCTCATCCAAGAATATTATCTATATTAATAAAAGAGTAATATGCCAATTAGACCAGGAGATCTTCTGGAGACCTTCTGGACAAAGCCATGGTGGCGGGGCTGAGGCAGAGGCAGTTGGGAACCATCAGGCCATCAGGGGAGAAATTAGGGGTATCAGGCTGGCAAAGGATGACAGTTGGGGGCAAGATCAGGCAGGCAGGGGAGGGTAGTTGGGGATGAACAGGACAGCAGGTGAAGGCGGTTGGGGCAATCAGGTTGGTAGGTGAAGGTGGTTAGGGGCGATCAGGCAGGCAGGTGAGTGGTTAGGAGCCAGTGGTCCCGGAGTTTGAGAGGGATGTCCGACTGTGGGATCGGGCCTAAACCAGCAGCCAGACATCCCCTGAGGGGTCCCAGATTGGAGAGAGTGCAGGCTGGGCTGAGGGGACCCCCTCCCACCATCATGCATGAATTTTGTGCAGTGGGCCTCTAGTATATAATAACTTTAAAAGTGGAAGGAACTAGCCACAATTATAGACTATATCTAAGTTAGCACCCTACCTAGGATTAGCACCATAATAATTGGATATGTATTATTTAGAAGATTACCAGTGCTGACCCTCATTCTAGCAAACAACCCTTGTGATATTGCAATTGAGGACTGCTGGGATTGGTGCATGGTGTGTAAGCGTGTGCTTGTGTTATGAAAGCTGCTTATTTGCCACATTACCTGCTAGGGCAGTGGTCGGCACACTCATTAGTCAACAGAGCCATATATCAACAGTACAACAATTGAAATTTCTTTGGAGAACAACATTTTTTAAACTTAAACTTCTTCTAACGCCACTTCTTCAAAATAGACTTGCCCAGGCCGTAGTATTTTGTGGAAGAGCCACACTCAAGGGGCCAAAGAGCCGCATGTGGCTCGTGAGCCACAGTTTGCCAACCACGGTGCTAGGGGATGCTCACAGTTCCATAACATGCCCTTTAACTGGGAGTTCATATGAGAGCAGGCTTTATATATTTTCTATGTCAGGCGTCTTACTGAATTAATGATCACTCCTTGCGTTTTTGAACCAGTGCACTCATTTTCACGCTGTGCCTTATGGAGCTGGAGTCTGGCCAGCTGTGAAGAGCAGGCTGAGGGGCTCCAGGCTCTTCCTTGCTCCAGCCAAGCAGCTCCACTTTATCTGGCTCATGTAGCGTGGTTCCGCATAAGATTTCACGCAAAGATGAACTTCCTGTGTTCTGAGGCTGCATGGCTTATGCAGCAGTTTGGAGATTTCAGTGTGTTCCCATGTTGGATGTGTGCTGTGACCCTTCTCAGCTACTTTATTGTCTCCGCTAGAGGCCTGGTGCATGTAGGGTCCCTGGGCCTGGCCGGCAATCAGGGCCGATTGGGACCTTCCAGCTGCCGGCCAGGGTCTCCCTTCCCAGGCTTTCCTTCATTCCGTGCCACCCCCTGGTGGTCAGCACATGTCATAGCAAGTGACTGAACTCCTGATCAAACTCCCGAGGGGACAATTTGCATATTGGGCTTCTATATATATATATATACACACACAAAATAGGTTACTTCAGTGATCATATATGAAAGGAGGGTGACAGTGGAGCAAATTAGATGGCTGGGAGAACTCACACATAACTCAACATAACTATCTGGTTGTTTGCAAACATCAACTAATATGCAAATGGTATCTGGGTATGTGGCCTACCCACATGTATGCTGGATGGCCCGCTGATTCTCTCATGGGGATGGTGGTTTCTGGGTAAAGTTTACTGGTAGTTTCTGAAAAAAGTGACTACTTCTAGTGACTCCTAAGCAAGACACAGTACGTCTCAGAGAAAAGGAAAATCCTCCTACCAAAACTCTGATGCTGATATTGGTATTACAACAGACTAACAGACTTCCATGCTTGGCAGAGAATTCCTATGTATTAGCCACACACTGGTGCTTCCTTAAGAACAGCCAGCAGCTTATTTATCTCTGTCTCCCCGGCTCCCTGGCACACAGATTTGTTTGTTTTTATTACCCATTAAACTAATAAATGTGATAGCAGGGAGAATGGATATAGTCTGTTCTAATCTTAACACCTTGCAGGGAGGTTCCAACTAAGAATGGTGAATTAATCCAGTGACAGATGCCAGGATTCCAGAGGAACCTTGCACTCCAGCTCCTCTCTGCCCACCTCCATGGCATGAGTGAGCATTGAAAAGCAAAGGATGGCTTTGATGGCCAAGTTCTAATGTGAGCTGAATTGAGACTATATTTTTGTCAAACAAGATTGCTGTCGGTTATCAATCCCAAACAAATGTGACAAGGAATATGAACTTAGAATAATGACTTCCTTTCCCAGACATTGGCTCCTGATATTTAACTGTATGACACCTGTGCAGCCCACAGCTTTCAAACACAGAATGAGAAAACCTTTGGTTTTGAGCAATTTCACCTGAGCTGTTACCCCAGCATTTTGCCTTGTAGAGAATATTTACCTTTTAGTGCCTAGTAAGTTGCAGTAAGAATATCATTTTGGGCCCTAGCCGGTTTGGCTCATGGATAGAGCGTTGGCCTGCAGACTGAAGGGTCCCACGTTTGATTTTGGTCAAGGGCGCATGCCCGGGTTGTGGGCTTGATTCTAGTGGGGGAGGGGGCATGCAGGAGGCAGCTGATCAATGATTCTCTCTTATCGATGTTTCTACTAGTATCCCTCTCTTCCTCTCTGAAACCAATATTTAAAAAAGAATATAATTTTGGGATCTAGAGCTGGTGAGCTAAATTCTCAGTTGCTCCACTATCGATAGAATGATAGCAATTATGAAGACTATTCCACCTTGTTTTAGACTTTAGTGGTATGTTCAAGATGCACAACAGTTCTAGGATAGTATTTTTTAGGCTTTTTAAAGCTAAACAAAACTTAATATGAAAAATAAAACTGAGGGTCTTGTTTTTCGGGGTCCCCCAAGACCACCCATACATTGGATGATTCACTAGAAGCAATCAGAATATATTGGTAGTTGTACCCACAGCTAAAATTTATTACAGTGACGGAATAAGCATACACAGTTGGATCAGTAAAAGAAAAAAGTATAAGTGAAGTCTGGAGAAATCTGTAGTTTTTTTTCTTTTTCTTTTTCTTTTTTTTAAATCCTCACCTGAGGATATTTTTTCCATTAATTTTTAGAGAGAATGGAAGGGAGAGGGAGAGACAGAGAAACACCAATGTGAGAGACATCAATTGGTTGCCTCCCGCATGCCCCCCCCCCCCCCCACCAGAGCTGGGAGCCTGCAACTGAGGTATGTGCCCTTGACTGGAATCGAACCTGGGATCCTTCAGTCCGCAGATCGATGCTCTATCCACTGAGCCAAACGGGCTAAGGCTGTTTGCAGGTTTTCTGTGCTCTCTCCCTTCTGTGAGAAGTCACACTGAACTCCCTCTCCCTCTGGCAATAAAAAGGCAGCAACGTGTGTGGTGTGTATGCCCAGGGAAGCCCATTTGAGACTCAGAGTTTAGGGTTTTTGTTGGGGGCTGGTTACACAGGCTTTGTCTTTCTAGCAACCGCTCAAATTCCAG